GAGATCTTCTCCTAGATGGAGGTCTTGGCCTCCAATGGAGTACTCTCAAGAGTAGAGGTAGGTAGGAGAAAAGCTCACATACAAATGAGCTATCACTTTGCTAACCCTAACTAGAAGGAGGTGGAGGAGTATATATAGTCTAGGGCCACGAACGGGTAAGTGAGGAGGGGATACATGGGTCTTTGGCCCGGTTAGGCACGCGCAGGTGTCGGATGTCTGGTCTGGGGGCCAGATGTCCGGGGCTTCGGGATGAGCCGGATGTCCGGGGTCTTGGCCAGATGTGCGGGCTGAAGTGGCACTCCGGTTGCTCTTTGGATATGTCGCTACCGGATTTCCGGGGATGATGCCGGATGTCCGGGGGTTGGCGAGGCACCGGATGTCCGGGCACACGGGCCAGATGTCCGGCCACTGATGCTTCGGCCGTCTATTGGTGCAGCTCCTTGGAGGCTGCACAGGCGCCGGATGTCCAGCCCTTGGCCCGGATGTCCAGCCGCTGTAGCATCAGCAGCTTCGTCTTCTTCTGTCGTCGCTTCCAGGCTTCCCTAGCAGATGGTGTAGTTGTTCCTCGGCGCTTGCACTCCTCAACATCCGTGAAGCTCTGACAATACCTATGCATGCACACGGGAGAAGTGTCAAGTAGTATACCATCCTCGAATGGGTCAAGTGAGCACATGTAAAGGAGATGATTCACCTTTGTGTATGTGAAGTAGATGTCGCACGTGTCACTCACCGAATGGACTCTTGACATGGTGATGTCCACAGGATGCTCCGCATTAGTAAGACTACTAGCTCGGGATTTGGGACCCCCTACCCAAGATCTGTTGGATTCGACCCGACAGTAATCCAAGTTCGTCGTGTTTCGGCTACCCTAACTCCAGTGTTTTTCAAATCTAAGTGAATCATCCTCCACTACTTTCCTGCCCAAATTTTATTTCTCTTATGAACATGTCTAGCGGCCTAGTTAGTTCCTATCAGGAAGGGCATTTGGAAGTCGAGGCTATAGGGAGAGGGGCGCCAGAGAGGTGAATAGAGAGATGGTGTTGGGGTGGTCGGGGGAGGGGCGTGTTGGGGTGGGTCGAGAGAGAGAGAGATTTGGAGAGAAAAATGAAAAATGGGCTATTTTTTTTTGTTTTTTCATATGTGCTAGGCTTTCTCCTTTTTTTTCCTCGTAGGGTTAGTGAAAGAGCTGGAGGGGTGAAGGCAAACATACGATGACCAACTCCTCTTTAATAGTAAAAAATTTAGTTGGCTAAAATCTGGCTCGAGATTGAATCAAAATCACTACAAGCCGAATATGAGCCACCTGTTCAATTTTTTTTTTTGCGGAAATAAACTCCAATCCATTAAACCAACTCCAGCATACACCCCTGACAATGAATGAAATTGCAAGTAGGTCCTTGGGGCACAAGTCTACTTCCACCTCCGGTATCTCAAGTCAATTTGAGCTCGTTCTAAGCCGAGTTTAGTCTAGATTGTTCAAAACTCATTTGCCCCTCTAGGTTAGACAATTGAATAACCTCCATGAGCACAATGTCAATATAAACGGATAAACTATTTTTTTGCGAGGGAAACGGATAAACTAATTGTGTAGAGGAATAGTTTAAATCACATGAGGAAATAAATTTGAAAAAAATGTTAAAAGGAAAATAGGAAAATGATCATTGTCCTATTATTTGCCGGCATCATGAAATTCAAGGGATGGTTCTTTTGGAGAGAAAAGAAGAAATTTGAGGCGTGCAATTAATCCCATCGGCACCAAAAAAAAAAACAGAAAAAAACCTGAAAGAGACAGTAAAAGGTGAGAAGGCTGGAGCCACACAAAAATACAGGCCCAGAAAGCCCACGCACGGAGCCGAATCGGAGTTGTTCTTGGGAAGGCCACAATGGCGATGAGGTGCCTCTCTTCTCTCCCTCTCCTCTCCGCATCCGGCTCCGGAAAGGCCTGCGCTGCTGTCAGAACGCATCACACTCCCTCTGCTGCCGCACACCGCCGGATCCGGACTCACATGTCGGTGGCCACCGGCGGTGAGCAGGCCCTGACGGCCAAGGAGCAGTCCCAGGGTAAGTTTTTTATGTTCCTATCGTAGTACTTTTGTTTTTTGGTTCCTATCTAGTACTGATAGCACATCGGTGTAGACGAGATGTGCTTTAGGCTGTATGGAGTGCAAAGATTGTTTCTTTAGTATTTAATTTCTGCGTTACTGAATCTGCGGAGTGAAAACATTGGCGACGTTTGGTCGTGGATGAAAAATGTTTTGCTGCCTCAGTTTGGGCCTGGACTGTCCAAGAAATTCTCTCTCTGCAATTACACCGATACGACTAGTACTAGTTAGATCAGTACCATGGTCTAGAAGAATTTAGATCTAGTTTTAGTTAGTACTAATTCTAAAGTTGCAGATCCAATCCCAGAGGCTACCTGTGTTTGCATTTTTCAATGGAGGTTCTGAGGAGCAGTTGAGAGTAGTGTATACAAAGACACAAGCAACAGCTTTAGAATTAGTTCTCTGAAAGGAGCAGTATATCAATATGTTAGGCATTAAAACCTGAACTATGGCATGTCTTTAGTAGCTGGTACTGAAGTAGCAAAACTGGAACTAGCCAGATTTTTGGCTTAACAATCAAAGCTAGCCAGGGTTGCTGACGAGGCCAACCTTGGTCGATATTTGCATTCACGGTGTTCATTTTTTCTGAAATTATGGGTGCTCACTAGAATTTGCTTGCATGTCATAGAGTAATATGTTAGTACATGCAGCATCAAAATATAAGTGGCAGGTAGGTCTTGATCTCTATGTGCAAGGAAAATTACCAAGAGCTTAATTTGCATGATGTCATAAGAGTACTCTGCATTCCTGTCGTTGATAAGCAAGTTTTTGTGTCAATGTCATTTCTTGTTTCATAAGACTTAAAAAGGCTGGGTTCCATTACCTCAAGATAACAGAGCAACACATTTTGGGTCAAAGTTCCATAATTATTCCTTAGTGTCTGAATGAAATCATTTCTGATGTCAAATGCAGAACCTGACTATGGAGTTGTTAGTATGCACCATGTTGGAATACTATGTGAAAATCTTGAAAGGTCGATGGCATTCTACCAGGACCTCCTTGGTGAGTTATCTGTGAGTTGTATATGTTTCACATGTATATGCACTGCTTATAAAGTAAAATGATACTGTTGATCATTCAGGTCTTAAGGTGAATCCTGCTAGGCCAAATGACAAGCTTCCGTACAGAGGTGCTTGGCTCTGGGTTGGTTCTGAGATGATCCACTTGATGGAGCTGCCAAATCCGGATCCACTGACAGGACGCCCAGAGCATGGTGGGCGTGATCGTCATACCTGTATAGCAATCAGAGATGTCTTGAAGTTGAAAGAAATCTTTGACAAAGCTGGTATATCTGAATTCCAACTCTATTTTTTTCTGCTGTGTACATCAGACACTGGCTACAGTGTGCACATACCTTTTTCCTCTACTTGCCACCAACAACGGTAACCGCTAGTAGAGCATTTAACCTTACATTACTGCGGTGAGTAGCACAAAGTTTCAACAATTCAACAACTAAACACACAAGCTCCAAAAGGATCTGTATACTTACTCATGGATAAAAAAAAAATACTCCCTCCGATTCGTGTTACTTGTCACCCACTTATTACAACGTTAGTATAAAGTTGTATTAAGTGAGCGACAAGTAATATGGATCGGAGGGAGTATTAAATTCTAAGGTGACCCCACGAAAACCCATGGATTGGTAGTACAAGTACTAAAAATCGAACTTATAAAACTGCAGGATGGCGTTTGCCTTGGTAGATATGGTTGCAGAGATATACATATTCATTGTCTCAACTGTATCTGTAAATTACTGTTAATAGAGTGAAGTTATCCATAGTATGTTATGGTTATGGTTCTGCCTAAATTTGTAACTGTTGCCGTAGTCAGGCTATTTGTGTGACAGACATGGCAATCAAAACCTCTGAGGGTAAAGTTATAGGTGTCTTGACTCTGGAAAAACCTGTCCTGGGTTTAAAATAACCATTCTGTAGAAATTGTTGCAAGGTGTCAAAAGGGCGGTCTGATGTTATAGTTGATTCAACACTTGAACAGTGATGTTCATCAGATAATCTTTTAAAAGACTGGTCAATTGATTTCTAAGAATCTCGAGCATATTACGTCCACATGACTGTAGCACCCACATTCCCATCTCTTTGACATGAGAACAAAAAGACTCACTGTTCCATGTTTTATGTTAGAACTTAATTCTCTTAGTTGATATTACCACGTCACCTACTATGACTTTATAATGTTAATTAGTATGCATTGCACTTTTGCAATTCATAATGCTGGATTCTAATTAGCCTCACCAAATTTCTCTATCATCCATTGTCCAACAACACAATGACCTTCTATGCCTTCACCGTGATGCAGGAATCAGCTACACGCTCAGCAAATCCGGGCGACCAGCAATCTTTGCACGAGACCCGGATGGAAATGCGTTGGAATTTACACAAGTGTAGCAAGTGAGAGTCAGATTTCCAACTAGAACACACCTCACAAAATGGTGCTTGTAAGATTACTGTACCCAAGACCTTGTTGCAGGTCTTGCTGTCTAGCAAACAAGATCTGGCTGGGGCAATTCTGCTTGTGCCTTGTACATACCAGTCAAGAAATGGAGATGTATCTATCACATGATCATAGACTGGCGCTTAAAATGTTAGCCAATTTGGTCTGTAGTAGTGATTGAGTATTACTCAATGACATGGGTATGGACAAATGAATATTGTAAATTCCTTCCACATTATGATACTTATATCAGACTTGAATGCGCTACGTTTTCTGATATCAGTGTCAGTGCCTTCTAAATATCTCTTGGAACAAGCATGAAAAAAAATAGTCCTAATCCCATCCGAAAGCTGTATGTTCTGAACTGGGATTCTTCCTATGCTTTCATGGAAGATGAGTAGTTCATCACATTACAGAAGCCCGCGTTTTGACATGGTGAACAGACCCCTAGAGGAATGTAACGCTGGGGTGGCCGCCATGGAGGAGGTCGTGAGCAATCCTGTCTCGCTCCTTGTCGGCCGCTGCGGACAGCACTGGATTGGCAGCGGCGACCACGTCGGCATCGTCCTGCTGGGAGAGTTCGGACTGGATGTCGGCGTCGAACTCCTCGCCGCTGCGTTCGCAGAAGTTGTGCAGCACGCAGCAAGCGCCGATCATGTTGTGGAGGTCCGGCAGCTTGGGCTCCGTGCGGCGCTGCAGGCAGCGCCACCGCCCCTTGAGCCTCTGGAAGGCGCCCTGTGCTGCTGCGCGCGCGGCGGCGATGCGCTCGTTGAAGGCGTGCTGCGCCCATGTCAGGTTCTGGTGCGCGTACGGCACGAGCATCCAGTCCGTGAGCGGGTAGCTCGCGCCGCCCACCAGCCGGCACTGGTCGTCTCCGAGCATGCCGGTCTCGCAGCGGGAGTGCAGCGCGGACCTCTCGAGCACGGCGGCGTCGGACAGCGAGCCAGGGAGGCCGATGCACACGTCCGTGAAGGCGCCGTCAGCGTCCACGACGGCCTGCACGGCGACGGAGTAGGAGGCCTTGTTGTTCCGCTCCGTGAGGCGGCGGTTGTAGTACTCGGCCACGTCGTCCTTGGGTGGGCCGATGGGGATGTGGTCGGTGTAGACGGAGCCGATGACGCCGGGGATCCCGGACAGGGCCTGGAACCTGGCGGCGGGGGATTCCAGTGGCCAGCGGACGGCCTTGGGCAGGAGAACGGCGGTGAGGGCGGCGCAGACCTGGAGGACGATGTTATGGCAGGTGGAGATGCCGAGGCCGAAGCGACGGGAGACCTCGCGGAGGGGCTCCCCGGTGGCGAGGCGCCAGAGGCAGACCGCGACGCGCTGGTGCACGGGTATGGCAGCACGCAGCGCGGTGTCCTCCTTGGCGACGGCGGCGCTGAGCTCGTCGCAGAGCGCGTCGAAGGTGGCGCGCGACATGCGGAAGGCCTGGCGGAACTCGGCGTCCGGGCACGCCGGGCCGCTGAGGCGGTCCCACCACTCCGTGCTCCGCTCCCTCACCCACACCCGCCGGCCCCCGCTCCTTGCCGCTGGCGCAGCGTCGCCGCCGCTGTGGGCAGGCGAGGTGGGCGGCGAACCCTGCACCTTCCTCCTGACCGCCTGCGGCCGCGACGAGCCGTCGTCTCCCGCGGGGACGAAGCCGCGCTTCCTTCCTTGACCAGTCATTTCCGCTGGTGGCGCCACCACCGGCGGTGGCAACGGCGCGGCGGCGTGTCCGAAGAAGGCTGGCGCGGCCTCGGCGCCGCCGTAGTAAGGGAAGGCGTCGGGCGCGGCGGCGAGGTCGTCGTTCATGAGGAAGGCGAGGAGGGAGGAGTGGTCGTCGGCAGCTGCTGGGCCGTCGAAGAGCGATGGAAGAGGGGTGAAGGGCGTGAGGTAGGTGCTCATGATCCGATCGGTCTCGTCGAGTCTTGGCTGTCGGAGCTAGCTCGATCGGCGGCGGCACTCCGAAGTACAGTACTGGCAGTCGGGTGCTTCAGTGAGACGCGGGATGAGGAGGATGATCGAGGAGGAGGAGATGGTTGAGGTGTGATGGAGCGCGGGGGCGAAGTCATATATAGGTATGGGGCCGCGGGGGGAGCTCGGGACGCGGTATGCGTGACGGGAGACTAAAATTATGAGGCGGAGAAGGCGCGCGGAAGGCGGGTCGCTCGCCCGCGTGTGTGGCGTTGTACCGCGGCGTACGCGGGTGGGGAGAACGGAGTGGGGAGGAAAGCGGGTCGCCGAGCCGAGTAGAGTTGCTAGAGTGGTGGGCTGCGATTCGCTGTCGGGTCCCACCGCAGCGGGGTTAGGGGAAAATGGAAAAGGAAAATATCGTCTGTGGTGTGGTGGACTGATTTGGGGGCTGCCTGGCCGTACTACCGTGTGGAGTGGTGGACTGACCGGTCCGTGACGGCTCTCTCTCTTTCCGCGGGTTTCTTTTGTCACGACCCCTGCCTTGTATGGCCGGCTAGTCTTTTTCTATGGGTGCCTGCGCGTCAACCGGATCGCCACCGTGCACTACAAAACTACTATACGGCCCCATGTAGTTCTAGAAAGAAGTGGATTACCATACCATAATGTCTTTTTTGCGGGATTACCATAATGTTGCGGTCAAATTTTTGTGACGGCACGCTCTTTTTTTAACTAACACAAATATCCCTGCGTTGCAACGGGTGAAAAGAACAAACTTCACCTCAAGAGACATCCACAATGAATCAGCAAAGGCGCAATGAAGGTCCTGATGAGTTGACGGATGCTCGCCAGTGGCCAGGGGCGGACCCAGAGAGAAAATGACTGTCCCAGTGTAAAATCACACAAGCTTTACATCTAAAAACAGGGTGTCACACACTATTTTATACACAAAATTACCAAGGAATCAATTTTGCACCTAGTGTCTTGTGCACCCAGGAAGCTGAACGTGGATACGCCCCTACCAGTGGCATGAACAAACCCCCTCTTCATGTGCTTCATAACATGCTCTAATCCACCGTAGTGTCTTCCATGATCCAAGTGATCTAGCTCATAGCCATTGAAGTCCTAATCTTCCGTTGTTGCCTCTGCCGTCGCGGGCCTAACCTCTGTGATATTGTAATGGACGTGATTTTTTTCTTAAATTAAGTACTCACCAATCCAACTCCCTTTCCAAGTAAAACGCCCCGCATTTGATAATTCTTGTTATTTTGTGTGTGCCAACAGAGTATGTGGCAAGATATTGTTCGGGCGCACTACCTGGCTAACAAATCTGTGGCCTCGGTTAAGCCCATGTTTTCTGATTCCCCTTGCTGGAAAGCCCTGCTTAAAGTCAAAGATATTTACTTTGTGGGCAGAAGGATCCATCTGGAATCTGGTGACCTAGTTAGAGTCTGGAAAGATGCCATAAACGGGCTAAGTCCTTTCCAGACCCTTTACCCTTCGCTGTTTGTGATTTGTAATGATCAGGATTGCACTATTGATAGGTTCAAATCTGTGGATGTCCATTCTTTCTTCAGAAGGAGGCTCACGCCTGAGCTGTCCTGTCAATGGGGAGAAATAAGTAATACGATCAAGAATATCCAGCTGAGCCAGGGTGGGGACCGGGTCTACTAGGGGCTTAATAGTAATGGCAAATTCTCCACTAAATCTGTGTATAAGTGGCTTGAAAACCCTCTTAGTGGTTGCCATTATAGATGGATTTGGAAAGCCAAAATCCCTCTCAAAATCAAGATCTTCCTGTGGCAGCTGTCTCAGGACGCAGTGCTCACTAGGCAAGTCATGAGAACGAGGAAATGGACTGGGAATCCTACATGCTCTTTCTGTAACGAGTTGGAAACCTCCCAATATCTGTTTTTTACTTGCCCTGTGGCTAAAGTGATCTGGAGATGCGTTTGGGTAGTATTGGGTACTGAAATGTGTCCGAATAGCTACTGGCAATATTTTGCATGGTGCCATGCTTTTCTCCCTGATGGACAAAAGTACTATACTGTGGGCTTGGCTGCTGCTTGCTGGGCCATTTGGCTAGCTCGAAACCAAGCTATATTCGAAAAGAAACGTATCAAAACGCCTTTTGAGATAGTTTTTTCCATGTGTTCTTTCCTGCTGTACTGGACAGGGCTGCATGAGGAGGAGGGCGCCAAGGAGCTACTAAGCGGTGCTGAGATGATCGGGTCGAGCACGATGCGCATGATGGGAATGTGCAACGCGGTGAGGGTGCCGATCGAGGGAGATTGAAGGTTTGCAAGAAGTCTCGTTGGCTGGAGATGGGCGATCCTACGATCCTGTGATGGCGTTTCGGTTCTTTTATGGGTGTCTCATGTCGTTGTATGTAGTGAAAACTCAAGAAATAGGGTGTTTGCTGTGGATTTTCGGTGTTGTCTAGGTTTTCGCCCCATGGCATTTGTTTCGATGGCGGGCGAATGCAGTGGGTTTCCTGGCAGTGCCCGAACTCGCTTTACCTCTTTCCCTTCTCCTGACATGTTTCTGAACTTTGTATTTCCGTTCATTTGCAATGGAAAGGGGTATAGCCTGGTTCAAAAAAAATTCTTGTTATTTTGTGTGTGCCAACAGAGTAGCATATCAGCATTTTTTGAGTTTATTGTTGATGCGCAATTTTGAAATGGTTGAAATCATGATGTAAACAGAAGAGATTTAGTTCATCTTGACATCACATTTTTCTTGTTTAGATAACACTCCATTTGAAAACGGCAAGACCTTCACCATTTACTTAAGAGAGGAATCAGGTTGTAACTAACTACACACCATGTGATTCATGAATTAGAGATTGATGCATTTATATACGTTAGATATTGATTAGAAGGATCTAAAAAAAGAAGTCAGAAGCATCTAAAAAAAGATATAGGTTAGAAGCGTGTGGTCAAGTGAATATGGTTTAAAATTTAAAAAATGGTTGAAAAAAAAATGAAAAATGTGTACAAGTAAACAAGGGTGTGAGGTGTATATGTGTAAAATTTCAGAAATAAATGCATTGAAATGCGACCTATATAAAAAGATAAATTCATGGTCTGGGAGGATAAATAGTATCATGTGTCAAAAAGTCTCAGATTTGTCTTTCTTGCACAACCTCCATTGCAACGTATTTCATCTTGAAAATTTACACACATGTGCATTATGCCTTCATCTACCTTTGTATCTGACGGTGTCCTGGAATAGAGGGTGCCAACCTAGTCGGCCCATAGTCCTCGGGCTGGGCCTGTTGTCGGTGTCAAAACCGGTGGATCTCGGGTAGGGGGTCCCAAGCTACGGATCTTGGCTCAATGGGGAACAAGAGACGAAGGAGACGATGTTTATCCAGGTTCGGCCCCTCTCGAAGAGGTAAAACCTACGTCCTGCTTGATTATATTGAAGTGTATATGATGGTTACAGAGTTGATCTACCACGAGATCAGATGACCTAAACCTTAGGTGAGTAGGATGATGGTTCTTCTTCTAGCCTCTACGAACTAAACCCCTTGGTTTACATAGACACTGTCAGCGTCCTGGGAACGGGGGTACCCAGACCCGCCTGCCTGCGGCCCAGGGCGTGACTCCACCAACGGCCTGGTACGGCCCATCTTCATCAGCGATCACTCAAGACCCTCGCGAGGGGCCAAGACTCGCGAGGCGGACGAGACAAGACCTCCTCAGGGGCGGCCTTGCTAGGCTGGCTTCCGAGGAGCAGAGATATCAAGGCGGGTGGCATCTCGTGAGGTTCGCGTGATGTGATCCATGACAACGAAGGCCAGGCGGGCGCCAACGGGTGCAGGGTGCCAGTTTCCTCTTTGGTGCTAAAGGGGCGGGCGCAGGCGAGGAGTCCCGAGGCATCAGGCAAAGGTTTCCGTATCGATGCAATAAGACCAAGACCAGCAGGACGGCAGGATGGAGGTCATCACGGAGCCCATGGCGGCGTCACCACCAGAACCTTTGCCAGGCAAAGACCACTTTTTGTCAGGATAGCTTGTACTAGTTGTCTCCCTTCGAAATTGGCCATTGTGGGATCCCTTCCCGCCTAACATTTGGGACGAGGACCCGGGCCTCTATAAATAGGACTAGCCACCACCGTAGCAAGGGGACGGATCATTCAGACCATCCTCAGACACACCAGCTCATCGAGCTCAAGAACACCTCTCCTCAGGAGGCTGTTCATCCATTGTACCAGTTCATCCTTAGCCCACGAGGCAATCTACCGCACCACACTGGAGTGGGGTATTACACCACAACGGTGGCCCGAACCAGTATAAACTCTCGTGTCACTTGTTCCTTGGGTTCGGCGAGCTAGGCCTTGAGATTGTTGCGAGAGCGAGCTAGGGAGAGAGAGCTCTTCGTGCGCACCCTAGAGTTCGAACCTCAAGGGTTTGCCAGAACCCATAATCTGACATTTGGCGCGCCAGGTAGGGGTGCGCCGAAGCTTCTTCTTCGTTGACCGACCCGCCGTTGCCCTGCGACTCCAATGTCTGACGGCCCGAGGACCCAAGCCGAGACCACTGGGCGGTCTGGCCTGCCCGGGCGCCGCCATCCGCTCCAGAAGACCTCAACTCCGCGCTCCAGGCGGCCCGCGCGCCGCCTAACACCCGCGGGTTGGTGCCCGCCGCCCTCGCACCACGACGCACGTGCGCAGCCGCGCGATCCTCAGGTTATGCTATGGCAACGGCACCACACACCCGGCGAGAGCAGGCGAACAAGCGAGCCGCGCTCATCGTGGCGGGAGCTGCTGCGGTGCAGGCTAGCGGAGAGCGGTCGCGATGCACTACTAGAACGAGTCGCTGATCTACTGGACGCCGCCTGCAGGGGTACGCCGCCTTCCTGCTCCTTGACCGCACCCCAGGTCGTGGCGGAGGCGCGCGCGAGGCCCGCACGAGCCCGCGCACCCCCTGGGGCATCAGGGGGATCCGATGACGCCGGCGCAGGTCCCGGCGAGGGCCGTCCTTCCATGGC